CCGAAATCGCAGGAGGGTCGGTGTAATGCACTACCAAAACGCCCGTAACTAAGAAACAAATGCTAATTCGATGATGCCGGCTGGGCCACTGATTCACTATGAATGTAGGCCGCACCCCCTAGCGGCAGAAGCTCGTACTACATCCGGTTCGCCCTCTATTGACACAGTCTTGAAACTTTCCGATCGCACCTCGTATATAGTTAAGTAATAAAATTGGTCATAGGTGCTTAACAGCCGTCGCCAAGATCCACAGCATTACTGCATCATTGCATTGTCGTGTTGTCTTGCTTTCAGCCCCAAATCGCCGCCCAACAGCCCCAACACCGAGCTGTCCACTGACGATGACCTGAAGGGAGTCTACATCAACTACTGCTACAAGGTAAGGAGAAACTCCAGTTCGGACGTTCGCTAGCCTTTCGCGTGTTCTTTTGCATCTAACGCATATAAATCATGATGTTTCAAGAGTTTTATTTACAGTGGAAGTTGGCAATCGACTTCTCTCTCATGTCGGCGTAACTCAAATCGAACAAGTATCGATTCTTTAAGAGAACGGCAGGTCCAAAACACAGATATCAGTGAGCTATACAGTTTTTATTAAAACGTAATTTGATATGATTAGTAAACTGCGAAAAGTAGTCGGGGCGAATCTGTGCGTTCCGCGTCAGTTCGAAGTAAAGGGCACGGGGATCAGAGGGGTAGGAGATAAGCGTGCAGTTTATGGCAAACATTGTTTTACGACGACAGTAATTTGTCTCGGTTCCCTGTGTCTAGTGTGTTTGATTAAATTGTACAGTGGACGCCTGAAAATGCCACCGATTGTCCAAATTAAAAGGGGGAGGGAACGTTTTCTCGTGACACTTTTCGCCGCCTTGTTCTACATTGCCCTTTCCATCCTCCCTTCCTCCTTCAAGCTCGCGGGTGCGTTGCGTTTGTCTTCCGTCTGTTCCCAAGCTAAGGGACGTGGTCGAAACGCACAGTTTGGTTCCGACAACAGTGACTCGAAAATTAAATTTACGGCGCTTACAGCCCTTTGAACACTTGGTCTGCTGAATAATTCCAGCTCCCGTAAGTCTGTATAGTGACTGGACGACCGTGGTTTGATCCCCGACGGGGGCAGAGAATTTTTCCTCTAGCCTCTGGGGCCCACCCAGCCTCCTGTCCAATGGGTACCGGGGTCCTTTCCCGGTGGTAAAGCCTGCCGGGGCGTGATGCTGACCACTCACCCCCATCTAGTGCCGAGGTCAAGGAAGAGAGGAGCTATACCGCCACTCACCCCAAACGCCTACATGGCGTATAGTGGGACAGCTTTTACAGACCCTGTGTTAGCCGTTCGATAGGACTCGTTGAACGGCGTTTAGCCTCGTGTTAGGCCTGTGCCTACACAGATCGGCGCATCACAGAAACATGCGGACAGACATCCATATCTCAGCCGGGGTTCGAACAGGCAATCCCAGAATGTATTTTGTCTCCGTTCTGATTGAACTTTGTATCGAAAAACAAATTGTTCGTCAGCTGTGTGTCAGATCCATCTGAGTATTATCCGACCTTCTCTTGTATTGTCTCCGTAACCGATTCGACGGTATTTGAGAGGCCAGGTTAAGGCTCGTTTCACACATATACGGCGACCGTACAAACGGCACCGTTTACACGGAACGGTGAAAACTTCACACACAACCGATCATAACCGTAGCCGGTTATTCTGTTATTTGTTGCCAACATAACTTGACAGTAAAACAAAAAGTTCTCAGTTATCGTCTCTCTAGAGCCCGAAGGTATGTAGAATGCTCGTTTGGAATATTAAGTAATAAATGGAGGATCTTTCATCGACCTATAAACTTGCAACCTGATTTTGCTGTAGACATTGTCAAGGCTTGTGTTGATTTATACAACTTTGTTCGGGAGAGAGACGGCTACGAGGCAGAGGATACATTGACAATCACAGG